AAAAAAAAAAAAAAAAAAAAAAAATTTAAAGCTCCATAAGTGTTTAAGTCATCTCTGGATGGCGTGCATATATTATTAGTACCTTGGAAACCAAAATGGCAATGGACTGAGAGAGAAGCTCCCAGAAGAAAGAGTTGCCTCTGTCAACATGATCAGGGCCTTTCCTTCCCAGCAAGATCAACACCATTCTTCCTCCTACAGTCAACTCCTCAGACCTTGACTTAAGGAACAAAGTGAAGTCTTCTTGAAATTGCTTCAGGTAAGCTTGAGACACTCCAGGAGGGCTTGATTCAGAAATGTGAACACTTCCTGTGTTTATTGACTTCCCCTGCTCATAGATGGCTGGAGGAACCTGCATGGCATTTTGGTCATTACATAAACAGTAAAAAAGCAAATTAATAAATATGAAATTACGGAATCTGAATATCGCACTCTAGAGAGCCAGTGTAAACTGCAGGATGAGTAGACAAAGTGCAAGGAATTGTTGGGAAAAAGTCTTCCATAAAATGAGCCTGGATAGCCTCCTATATAAATAGGGGCAGACCCATCATTTCTTTCTTTGCTGAGGCCTTTAGAGAAGTCTGGCAAGGCCTTGAAGATGGAGTTGAAGTCATTGGATGGAAGATCATTAAGGTACACTCTGAACTCCGGTGTTGGGTGAAAGATTTTTCTACTTGTCCCTTGGACTGCTTCAATGATGTCTTTGATAATTGATAGGGTGTTGGGGCCAGATGAACAACCCAAGTCAGCTATGCCTAAGCTCTTTGGAGTTGTGGTGAGGTAAAGTTCTTGTATTGCCTCTAATGTTATGTCCTTCACCATATCAGAAACCTCCTTCTGTCACAACAGAAAATCAAAAACACAAAAAAGAAGAAGAAGAACATGTAAGGAAATAAACATTGTGAAATCAAATTGCTAAGTGAGAGTGAGAGAGAGAGAGAAGAGAGAGAGAGAGACCTGCAATGAAGAATTTCTTGCATAGCTAGTATGGCCAACCCCTCCATTCATGTGGAAGACTTTCTCTACATCCATGCTTGTTGAAGCTGCCTTGAACTTGGTGGTGCTTTGCTTTGTTTACTGTTATTATAAAGGCAAGTTCAAATGATGCATCTCTTTACCCTTTGGGGGCACCTATCCTTTTTTAAATATATATATTCTTCATCATGGTAATTCATATTGCCTTTTCATAATCCAACTGTAATGATTATGGGTACAGTTTGTGGCTTGGCAACCTATCTCCAAAATGGGCCATCATTGCTTTGCTTAATCTGAACAGTAGAGAAAATCTCGTATTCTATTGGACATTGCCTAAGCTTAATCTCTTGGTAAACAAGCACTAAAAATGTTTAACATAGCATAAAACACGGCAATTTTTACTGCAGAAAGTATGACATTTCTTACTTTTGACTTGGAATTGTCTTTCAAAAACTTCAGGCTTTGGTCATTATCTGCTCCTCAATTTGAAAAGTCTGTTTGTTGGCCAATGACCCACTTTCGTGCCTGAAATGAAGTCATATTGATGGAGATGGTTCAAGCTTTTAGTGCATGATGATAAGGCTTATAAGCTGGCTTTGGTCCCAAACTTTTCCCAAGTTGTCTGGGGAAGCAGTACCTGCGAATCACAGAGACACACTGTTTACCATGGTTGAAATTTTTTGAGATACTTTACCTGGTTGTCTATATCTTGTCACAAAGAGCACGCCTGGTGGACACATGTCGGCTGAGGGGGCAGTAACTGGTTCCCATGAGGCTGTGTTATCGAGCACATACATGAACTTCAAAGATGAGTCCCAGAATTGGTCCATGCTACTACAATTACAGAATCAATAAACAGATTGTGGATCACCATGTATGATTGCTATTTGGAATAGCTTGGAACAAGTGGACGTTGGGTTTATTGGGCTTAGAGCACCAAATGGAAACAAATAATTATCGAATAAAAAACAGAAAATGCTTCGTATTAGTTAGGTTACCAAGTATAAAATGACTCTTCTAACAGTTCCTACATGAGCCTGTTTTATAACCATAGGTCATAATTGAGACAAGTGTACTGTAATTATTCTCCAACCACAAAAAAAGTACTGTAATTATTCACAGAGGTCATAATTGAGCCACGCGTCAACAGGGTTGTGGTCAATTCCAAAAGATTAGTAGTACTGAAACACTGTTACGTGATATAATCATTTTAGGTGTTATAATATAGACGGACATACTTTCATGTCTAGTGTTAATCAACAAAACACATGTTACAATATATGTGATAGGTTTTAACATGTGGTAGTGTTTTAGTACCATCCAATAATTTCTCGTTAGGTTAGTATACCTTATTATTTTTCCAATAATTTGAATAAAAGAATATCTAGAACTTTTAAATATATAGTTTCATCTATTGAATTAAATAACAAATGATTACATTGAAAAGATGATTTGATTGTCTTAAAAAAAAAAGATGATTTGATTGAGAAATTTTGTGTCACTAGTACAAATATGAGTACATCCCTCTTCTTGCTTTATTTTTTTGGCTATTTTAAGGAAAAAAACATCTCTTAGGCATGGGCTAATTACATTTTGGGCCTAAATGCTTTGTTAAAAATCTGTCAAACCCAAATGGAAAATAATTTCTACCCAGAAAGTTTCCAGGTTCATAAATAAATTTGACTTTTGTTTCAACTGTGAACTCCATAATAACATGTAATGTTATTAATTTAAAATCAACCACGTTTTCTTCCCACTTATCATGCACTACAAAAATAAAACACATTTAAAAAAAAAAAACAGATGTGTTTGTCGTGGAGTTTATGTCCATTTACAAGAACTACAAGCATGACGGGGTTGTGGTGGACCGCTGAAAGAGGAGCAAAGCAGACGAAGGAGAAAAAAAGCAGACACACATATGAGGCCAATAATTCTCCTTTTTTGTTATGGCTTTTTAGCTTTTGCTTCTCAATCATAATGCGTTTGGCAATCAATGCTTTTCTTGTCTTCTTGGCCTCAGCTCATTGTGACCTAACTTCAGAGAGAATCTACGGAATCATTTTAAAGCCGTGGAGCTTATTTCATTTACTTTTCAGAAGATAGACTGTCTGTCCTCCTGCACATAGTCCATTGGTTATTGGCCCCCCTTTGCTTATGAGGAGGAACTCTTTTGTGAATATGCACTTTTGGTTTGAGGGTTCAATGCAATGGAGTACCAGCAAAGTCAACTTTATCCACCTCTCATGGTTTGTAGACTCTACTCTTTGATTTTCAAACCGGAGTAATTTTTGGGTGAGACTGTCGTATACTCCACTCGTTCAATCCACCTTCACATTCCTCTCACTTTCTCATTTATAGAGACACGCGACTGTAACATGTCTCTCAAACAATGTTGTGAGATGAGTTTATCTCTTTAATTGCGCGCCGGATGGCACTGATCCATTGCTTTGCTTGATAGCTTAATTTGGTTTCATCGCTTTGAAGATAAACATGTGATAAATCAGAAAGTCCATGATCAATTCTAGTTCTACAAGAACTAATTAAGATAGGAGAGTGAACCCTACAACATGTGAGCAAATAAGACAGTACATAAATGGACAAAGAGATCTAACGAGGAAGCTACACACTGTATTGCCATTGCAACTTAGTTATCTTGTATCCTAAAGAAACAAAAAAGAAAACATAGAAATTATGGGAATTCATAAATAATTTACATAAACAGTTGAAGAGACAAACATGCACCTTTCTTTGTTTACAACGACAATTAGGTGGGCTATCTCCACCTGCTTATTTATATTTGTTATTGTTGGTTTGTGTTTAGCCGATTGTACATGTTGATGGAAGACATTATTCTACGACTCCTAGAATCACTGTCAACGATTTCTTAATCAGTTGGTAGATGCTTCTGCTTGCTTCATAAATTCCAGACCTTTTTTTTTTTTTCTTTCTTTCTAAATTCTATCCATCACTCTATGTGCAGACAAAAAAATGAAGTATGAAAAAAAAAAAAAATCAATTGTCAAAACGCTTTCATACAGCCAGTTATATACAAGGAAGAAAATTTCCTTCGATAGAGAGACATAAACTTCATTTCCTTTATTATAAAATGTGTTGTTTTTAGTAATTAAAGTAAAATCAATTGTATCGTAAAGGTTAAAATGGCAAAAATAATATATATTTTGTAATTTTATTTGGTTTTGTGACAAAGTCAAACACCAGACATGGCATGCATGCATCTTGATGATCTCTCCACTTTGTTAATTAAAAGAACCTGGCATGCATCTTGATGATTGCAGACAAGATGTCTTAAGTTCGAATCTCCACGGCATTATAGTTGCGTGTAAGAGAAATCCCACTCTATGAAGTTTAGACTATCGCTTGTACTAATAAAAAAGGATTATAAACTTATAATAGTCAAATTAGTCCCTATACTTTGATTGATGGGATCACATTTGTCAACATACAACTCCTGTTCTTTAGTCTAATATATGTAATATTTTTCTAGTCAGCTTGTGTCTTGAATTTCCTCATATTGGTGTAACTTCTACTCCTTTTAGGTTAGGTTATTGGGTTATTTAATAGGAGTGCCATATGGTGGACGGTGGTTGATGGCATGGGGAATCAAATTGTTGTCAAATAAAACAAGTCAATGAAACATATAGGAGGCTTCATCTTTCATCATGTTGATATAATATATGCTGGGTCAGGATATATATATAAAGGACATGTTGGACAAGGGACAGCCTAAGAGATGAGCCTAGCAAGAAAAAGGTGAGCAACCCAAAGCTCTATATTACACATTTAGTTCTCTTCCTAGCTGAGATGATCTTCTTTAAATAACACTATATATGTCAAGAATCCACCCATCTAGCTAGTTTAGGAGATACTGAAAAACAGAGAGAGAGAGAGAGTATATATTTGTAGCTCTTCAATGGTACAAAGGACTGTCCTGAAGGTTGACATATCATGCCTAAAATGCAAGAAGAAGCTGATCAAGGCAGTGAGTGGCCTGCAAGGTAACACGATCATGTCCCTTTTGAATCTTGTTTTCCCATAGGTATAGATTTCTTTTACCATCACTTTCTCTACCTATGGAACAAGAATCCATAGCCATGATGTAGGGAATATATGATATATGTTAACGTTAGTCGTTTATGTATACGATAAATGCTAACGTCAGTTGTTTATGTCTGCATAGATGAATACTAATTGTTGATTGATATAGACCTCATGAACTACGTATAAATTAATGCTCAAAAACCTATCACGCCGGTGCACGTGTGAACTATTTACAACAGCAAAACTCGAGCGAAGATTAAACCTCGTGTGAACTATTAATTAGGATCATATATCTAGCTAATTTGGTCTTGTAGGTGTTGTTTATAAGTGGTTTTTTTGTTGTTATTTCTGAGTTATTTCTTGTCAATGAATTGCAGGTGTGGATAAAGTTGAAGCTGATGCAGCCAAGGGAACTTTGACTGTAACAGGCGATTGTGATCCCTATGACATAATAGTTCGCACTAGAAAAGTTGGCAAATTTGTTGAAGTAGTGAGTATTGGGCCTCCTCCTGCTCCAGCTAAACCTGCAGAGAAAAAGCCTGAACAGAAGAAGGAGGAAAAGAAACCAGACCCGAGGCCCCAACATATTTGCATTCCCTATGACTATGCTATTGTATGTGATGAGCCCAACCCCTCTTGCTGTATCATGTGATAAAGTCAAATAGTCAATCCATCATTATTTTGTTTAGGTCAATGATTTTTGTATGATGGTGTTCGTCCGATCTGGTTTATGTAAATTCAATTATTATGTAGTATCATTTACCTTTTTTTCTTTATCTGAACCACGAGGTGGTTCTGGATGGGCCCCAATTATGGGTGGCACCTTTAAGCCTTAACCACAATTCAAATTAATCTCCGCTCACACCGGATCAGCCCGTAAGAGATAAAGTGCTGATCAAAGTGGTGACTCCATACGAGAGCAGGGATCAAACCCCTAACCTCTCTTAAGAAATGAGAGTGTCAAACCACTCACACCAACCACCTTGGTTTAGTATCATTTACCTTAATTGTGTTGCAACATCATATTCTCCGATGATACCATTTTTGTTCTCATTTGTGTTGCAACATTTTCAAACGATTTTTGTTCTCTCCCCCCTTCAGCCAACCAATGCCACCCACAACACTCTTTTTCCAATGTTATTACCGCCCAAGGATAAATGATAGATATGTTATTTTAATTCGAGTTTGTTCTTTTTTAACAAGTGATATTTACGGTAGGAAGATTCGAATTCAGCACTTCGATTCAGGAATATTACTTCGCTACAAACCCTTTCAGATGCAAGTAGATGATTATAAGTACTATTTCTGTAAATTTATTATAATTATTATTATTATTTGAATGAAGGATGAAATTCTGCAATTTGATTATTAATTTTTGTGTACTTAAAAGGAAAAAAATTGTGGTTATGGCTTTTAAAAGAAAAAACAAAAGATGCTTTCCAAAAAAAGAAAAGAAAAAAAAGGTGGGTGACGCGGCTCCAAATCCAGACTTTGCTTGAAATTACAGATTTCACCACCCAACCACCCGGAAATGGAATGCACGACGTTTTGCCTCACTCTTCACTTCCAGAAGCCGTCACCGAGCTCTCATCTCCGATCATAAACCTCTCCGAGTCTTCTGTATCGGAACCGCCGATACAAAGCTCGACGAGCTCCGATTCCTCGCCGAGTCAGTCCGATCCCATCTCAACGCGTTCTCCAGTACTTCCTCGCTCAAGGTAAATCCATCTCTCTCTGTCTCCAATACTATCTTGCTCACGTAGTTTTGAATAACTCCGATACGGAAATTCAATGTCCGATACAGGTCCAAGTCTCGGTGGTCGACGTTTCGGCCAGTCAGAGCGAGACCGATAACAAAACAACCGATTTCGCTTTCGTTTCGAGAAAGGAGGTTTTGTTTCACTATTCTGAAGCATCGGGCCAGCTTCGTGAACTTCCGGAGGACAGAGGCGAAGCTGTTGCTGTAATGAGCAAAACGCTTGAGAAATTTTTAGCGAAATCTCAAAACGACGGCGTTTTGGCCGGTGCAATAGGGCTCGGAGGCAGTGGAGGCACGGCTCTCATATCTCCTGCCCTAAGATCTCTCCCAATCGGAATGCCTAAGCTCATCGTATCGACCGTAGCGAGCGGTCGAACCGATCACTATGTGGGAGAATCCGACCTGGTGCTGTACCCGTCGATAGTCGATGTATGTGGGATTAATAGCGTGAACCGGGTTGTGTTTAACAATGCTGCTGCTGCGTTTTGTGGGATGGTGATTGGGAGAGTTGAGAGAGATGGAGATTCGTGCGGTGGGGCAGAGAAATCGACGGTAGGGCTTACCATGTTCGGGGTCACGACTCAGTGCGTGAATGCTGTTAAAGAGAGATTGGTTAAGGAGGGGTATGAGACACTGGTTTTTCATGCCACTGGGGTTGGAGGCAGGGCCATGGAGTCTCTGGTTAGTGATGGGTTTATAAAGGTAATGTCTTTTTTATTGGAAATTTATTCATTTGTGTTTATTGAAATGTACAAGTTCAGTGTTAGAAGTTTTTTCAGTAGAACTTTAGGGATGAACATATAAAAATGTGAACTTGGTCAAGTTTTTATTTTTGAGAACCGTTTGCAGAGTAGGGGAACATGGCACTGGTTGATAGTTTGATTGCTGAAGCTTGAGATATGATCGGTTTCTCATTTTTGTATGTAAATTCTTGAATAGATGTACTCATTGCCAAGCTTAGGCTGAGGATGGATATCAGTTTAAGTGCAGAGTTTATATTCTTTCTTGATAAAGTTTACTTGGTAGAGACCTTTACATTACATGCATTGCTCTGTCTCTCACTGTTTGTTAGACCTTTAGTATTGTGTTAATCTTATTGTGGGGCTTTCATTTGTTTTCTTTTGTTTCTTTCTATTCTTCATGTTCACTCCTTTCCGTATGGTTTTACATAGGGTGTTTTGGATATCACAACAACAGAGGTTGCAGATTATGTGGTTGGAGGGGTGATGGCTTGCGATACTTCCCGCTTTGATGCCACCATAGGGAAAAGGATTCCTTTAGTTCTAAGTGTCGGAGCTTTGGATATGGTGAACTTTGGAGCTAAGGACACCATACCATCCAATTTTCAACACAGAAAGATTCATGAACATAATAAGCAGGTGATCACTGATAAGTCTCTAACACGATATAACACTAGAAGATTAAGGACCTGTCTGGAAGTGTTCAGATCATATATAGAATCTTAAAAGCACAATGAGTGTGAAACATGTCAATTTCATATATGATCATTTGACAAACAAGTTAGCATTAGGGTGTTGTGTGTGTATGACATGGAAACAATACTTGTCATTTTTCAGGTTTCAATCATGAGAACCACAGTAGATGAGAACAAGAAATTTGCTAGCTTTATAGCAGATAAATTGAACAAATCATCATCAAAAGTTGTTGTTTGCCTGCCACAAAAGGGTATCTCTGCTTTGGATGCACCAGGGAAGCCTTTCTATGATCCGGAGGCCACTGCTTCTCTGATTAACGAAATGCAGAGGCTGATCCAGACAAATGAAGATCGGCAGGTACTATTATTGTCCATCAAGTGGTTTGTTTCAATGCTTAAACCTTCTCTAGTTGCTTGGGTTTCATGTGCAGGACCAACTTTACTATTGAAATGGTGCATTTTTAATAGGTAAAGGTGTACCCTCATCATATAAATGACCACGAGTTTGCAAATGCATTGGTTGACTCATTTTTAGAGATTAGTACGAAGAGCTCTATCCGGTCTCCTCCTTCCCAAGTTTCTATTCCTGAATCTAATCAACAAGCTCATGAAAGTTCTGTTTCCAAGATGAATTTCTCAAGCTCTGGGACCATTCTGCGGAACCTGATTGACTTCCCAGATGCAAGACCAGGTTGGAGTTTATACCATATTCATTTTCTTTGTGACGTTATCAATCATCAGGAGCTTTAATTAAATCAGAAGCATTTGATATCCAACAGATGCATGTGTTGTATTACAACACGTGGATGTTAGCCACTTGAGGCATGGAATGTATAGCATCTGGCTTGATCTTCATTTTTTCATGCTTTGGGTCATAAATGTCAGCATTTTATTGTGAAATATAGAGCAACTTAGCTCAATAAATAGAACTCCAGATTTTGTTTTATGTCATTATTGGAGTCAGATCTAATGAGTAACTTATTACTTATGTTGCAGAAACGTTGCAACGAACTAGGGCTATATTGCAGCAACTCAAAGATCAAATAAATAGAGGAATTCCAATTATAGGGGCAGGTGCCGGGACAGGCATATCTGCAAAGTTTGAGGAAGCTGGTGGTGTTGATCTTATAGTGGTGTACAATTCAGGTCGCTTTCGCATGGCAGGAAGAGGTTCATTGGCAGGCTTATTGCCTTTTGCTGATGCAAATGCCGTAGTACTAGACATGGCCAATGAAGTCTTGCCAGTAAGTTTCAACGGCTTCGTATTCTAAAACTTTAAAAGAGTGCTTCTTCAGTCATTCACTGTTTATTGGTTTGAAATTTTTGTGTGAAAGATTGTCTTCATATAATCCAAATTTCTCTGTGATCTAATTGATTTCTCCTGCTAATGCAACTAAAATAAATATTCAAATATTCAAATTCTTGGTTAGGAAGTGAAACTAAACTGTAAAATTTAAGACCGACAAGTCAAATTCGTAATGCAATACCTTACCAGCTCTGATGTCCCTTTTAAAATCATCTCTTGCTGATGTGGAGCTGATGATAGTGTAGGTGGTGAAGAAGGTGCCTGTTCTTGCTGGGGTATGTGGCACTGATCCTTTTCGCCGAATGGATTTCTTCCTGAGGCAGGTGGAGTCAATTGGATTCTCTGGGGTCCAAAATTTTCCAACGGTTGGTCTCTTTGACGGTAATTTTAGACAAAATCTTGAAGAAACTGGAATGGGATACCGGTAGGTATTAAACATATCTTTTTTAAAACTTAAACATTTAGGAATATTATTTATGCATTCTGTAGTTACAACTTTTTTCTTAATGTATTGATCAGATTGGAGGTTGAGATGATTGAAAAAGCACATAAGATGGGGCTCTTGACAACTCCATATGCTTTCAATCAAGATGAAGCTGTGCAAATGGCATCGGGTGGGGCTGATATCATAGTGGCCCATATGGGACTCACTACATCCGGCTCTATAGGGGCAAAGACGGCTGTTTCAATTGAGGAAAGTGTAGTTCGTGTACAAAATATTGCAGATGCTGCACACAGGATCAATCCTAATGTCATTGTGCTCTGCCATGGTGGTATGATCTTGGAAACTTTGTTTTTCTTATAAAATTTTTATTTGCGGGGTTGCTTCGTGTGGTGAATTTGCATGGGAAAGTATATTTGATCTTATATGAAGCCTTTTTCATCTTTAGCTACCAACATGAAGATTATTGATTTGGTGCAATTTGCAGGACCGATCTCTGGTCCAAGAGAGGCAGAATTTATACTTAAGAACACCAAGGGAGTTCATGGGTTTTATGGGGCATCAAGCGTGGAAAGGCTACCTGTTGAACAAGCTATAACCTCCACGGTCCAACAATACAAATCAATATCCATAAACTGAAGTATGATCCGCCTGTTCTCGGAAGCCCAAATGCTGATATCATGTGCTATTGTATTTGCTTGGTTGCATCATCAAAATGTACAAGTTGATGTTGATATGGTTGTCTCAAGAATCTAGTACCACTTGTAAAATTATACGATCTGATCAATAATAATTATAATTTGGTAAAGAAGT